CCTCCTCCTCCTCCTCCTCCTCCTCCTCCTGCTCCTCCTCCTCCTCTCCACAAACCCCTCTCCCTTCTAGCACTGATGATGTTCCCTAGCTGGGTCATGAAACATCTGCAAAAAGCATCCAAGCTCAGAGAGCAAGCAGGACCATCAGTCCTCCTCATCTTCCTCTTCCTCCTCCTCCTCTTCCTCCTCCTGCTCCTCCTCCTCCTCTTCCTTTCTTGGTTACTATGGAGCCATGCTGGGTGCTCACCGTGGGCGCTGAGTTGCTCCAGATGAGAGTTTTCATCTTGACGAAGCAATGGGTCTTCTTGGAGAGGTAGACAGCGTCCTCCATGAAGATGACCACGGATGCCAAGGTCAGGAAGGTCACCATGCTGGTGATGGCCAGGTCCACAAATCCCTGCTCTGCAACCACCAACAAGTTGAACGTTTAGCGGCCGAAAATGCTGCCCTCCGTCCCACAGGGAGTCCAACAGCCCTGCCCTGCCTTTGCCCTTGGTAGCTTCGTTGGAGAATCTGATTTATGACCCACCCAGAGGAGAAACGGGGACACAGGTGACTGTCAATGATGTATGCCAGAGTTGGCTTTGTGAATGCCGGCATGTTGCTCCGAATAAATCTTTTGGATTCTTTTGAAGCATGGCTCGAATCTCCTGATTTAATTAGGGCTATTGCTGGAAACCTGTCTGTGATGGCCCCAAGGAGCGTGGCACAAAGGCAACACAGCCAAATAAGCACGAAAAGTCCCTTTAATATCTCCAACTTTGCCCCCAATGTCCAGGTTACCTTTGGCTGGAGAAAAACTCTCCCAGGAACAGCCTTGGGCTGCAGGAAATTCAGTCCAAAACAAGGTACACACAAACTGTAACTTAAAATCCAAACAAACCAAACTGTAGTCATGAACCGGACAGGGCAGGAGAAGGAATTGCAGACGGGAAAGGCTAGCAAAACACACACAGTTGGGAAGACGCCAGGAACACCCGATAAGCCCCGACAATAAGAGATAATTCACGATTTGCTTCCAACAGTTTGCTGTGCGTAGCTTCCTTTTGTAAATACAGTGTTTCCAGGTGTGTCTAATGAAGGGAATCAGGGCCCTTTCCTCCCCCGTAAGCCAGCAACTCATGTTGCTCCCTTCTCCGTTCCTCCCTGCGTGCCCTAGGATGAAGAGGGGGTGAGCCTGGATCTTCCTCTGAACTCCCTCTCCCTTGTTCTACCTCTCCCCTGCTCTGCCCAGCCGGACTTTGCCCTTCCCCCATTTCCTCCACAGCCAACGGAGCCACATTCCCGCTCCCTGTCAGCTGCTCGGCCTCCCCCCCCGAATCAGATTCTGACAGGGGCATGACTTTGACACTAATCAGACTGAGCAAGATATAGGTAGTCCTTGGCTTACGACAGTTCGTTTAATGACCGTTCAAAGTAACAGCGCTGCAAATAGTGACTTGAGCCCGGTTTCCACACTTATGACTGTTGCAGCGGCCCCACGATCAAAATTCAGGCTGTGAGAGACTTTGAGTCCACCGCCAGGAGATTTTGACAACGTGACCACGGGGAGGTTGGCCACCGTCGTAAGTATGAAACACAGTCGTACATCACATTTTTTCAGGACAGGCGATCCTCAGCTTGCAACCATCCCTTTAGGGATGGTTCAAAGTTATGACGACACTGGAAAAAAAGGGACTGAGGATCGTTTTTCAAACTTATGACCATTTTCAGACTCCCCATGGTCACGTCATCAAAATTGGCCACTGACTCCTATTTGGGGTCATGTTTTGATTCCCCCTTTGCAAGCTTCGGACAAGCAATCATCCAATTCACTTAATGATAGGGGTGGCTCACTTAACGTCCACGGGGATTCCCTTAACACCTGTGCCAAGTAGGGTTGTAAAAAAGGAGGCTTTAAGAGATGTCTCACTGAGCAGCGGGAGTTTGGAGCTCAATTGGGCTTCGCGCGTCAAAGACCAACTCTAGCATGGCAACGCCAAACAGTCACTAAATGAAGCGGTGGTAAGTGGAGGATGAGCTATGCAAGTTGGCTCCTCATTACTGTGTGGCCTCCGCCTTGGTTGCGTCCTGCACACTTACGTCGCAGCAGCTGCAGCGCAGAAGGCGGGTGCGAGAAGCACGCCACGGGGACGCTGAAGTTGTCGATCAGCAGGTGGATCAAATCCAGGGATAAGCTGGTCAAAAGAATGCAAAACAAGATCAGAGTTCAGATGAAACGTACAAGCTTCCTTCATTCTCTCTGGGGTTTGCTCGTCCTGTCCAGGACCCCCTTTCACTCCCAAAAATATGGACTGTTTCTTTGGTTCGCGAACTTAGAATTATCTTTAACCATCAGATCATTGTTATCCACCCAAGTGTTTGTTTGTGGGTTATTTTAAGGCAAGCAACTCCGTGTGAATTGACCTCTTTTCTGAATTCACACATTGCAAAGAATCTGTTGTGGTTAGCCGGCTGCAGGTGCGGACGGCTGAGGAGAGCGAGGACTCAGGTGAGGGGCCAGGACCATCGGGGAGTGGACTGCTGCCTTCAGAGATGGTGCGGGGGGCTGGCAGCAGCGATGAGGAGGTCCCCGAGGAGCCTATGCTAAGTGCATATTCTATTCTATTCTATTCTAT